AAAAGGATAAGCAGAAGTGAATGGATGGATGGATAGTTTATTGAGTCCCATTGGGAAATTCCTCTCTGCATTTAACACATTCACTCAGTGAAGCAATGCTAAAGCGGTGGTATTTTTGCAAAATCTTAGTATTTGTGCTATTTTGCAGAATTTTTGCTAAATATAGTATTTCTGTTCAATCATAGTCTTTTTGCTTTTATACTATTTATACTAAATCATTGTATTTCTGCAATGTGTTATTGTTTATGCAAACTCATAGTATTTCCCCTAAATTCTTGTTTTTCTGAGAAGTTATTATGTTTCTGTTTCACTGTGTGCATGTGTATGTGTCCAGACTTGTGTTTTTCTGTATCAGCTGGCTGTTCCTTCTTGGTTTTGTTTGTTTTTTAAATTTCTGCCAAGTTTTCACAATTGAACAAATCTATCATAATACATTACATTTTAACATTAAGACCTTATATGTATTTCAAAGTCAAATAGTCCTGCTTGAAATATTTATTTAACTTATAGAATTAAGCTTCTGCTAGTTTTTTTTGGTAGCAAATAAATCTTGTACAATAATATTGAACTGTACATACATTTTCACATTTCCAATTCCAATTTTGTTAGATGGGGGAATTTCCCACTACTCGTGAATGCCTCTTTTCTTACGTCGCTGGCTCACTCCTAGATCTCCGCCCACTTTGTCCGGATCTGCTGCTGGTAAGAGATGCTTCTCTGCAATGTCTATAAGCTGTTTGAGTGATTTACTGAGTTGTTCTTAGTTACTTATAAAGCCGGTCGAAGTATAGCTCATATTAAAGTAACACAATGGCCGCTTTTTTTAGTGAACAGTTGTAATTCTGGTATTTTTAAAGGAGTTTTTGAGATGCTAGCCCTGACAACCCAATGCTAACACCTAGCACACCTAGCGCTCCAAGCGCAGTGTGAAATGAAAATGGTTCATTTCACACTTTATTGAGTTGTTTCATGAACTTCATTCTGTGTTTTAGTGTTTCTGTGTCTGTTATGGGAAGTGCAGTTATTTCTCCTCTTCAGAAATCGGTCGGTTAAAACAGCCTCATTCTTTAACTTGTAACTTTATGTAAGAGCCTCCATCTTAGAACCAGTGATTAGCTGCTGTGTGCAGACAGCTGTCGGTAAGATCAAAGGAGCCATTTTACCGCCTCTGACCAACCACTGGGAGAAAAAGAGTCGCGTGTGTGTGTCTGTTGCGGGCTAATTAAGGGAAGGGATAGAGTGAGGATAAAATGCATAGTTAATACAAGAATAACAAGTTTTCTTAATTAGAAGTAGGCTTTTTAGTTTTTTAAGAACTGTTTAATAAACACTTGTTTGTGCAGGCCCACTTTTAAAGAAAAACACTTTGTTAGATTTCTCACTTTGTGGAAGATTAATTAAATAAAAAATAGCCCACCTTCAAATAAATAAAGTGCTGCAGTGTGCCATTAATATTATTAATGTGGTACATAGATATTTGTTTTAAAATAACAGCACATAAAATGATACTATGCATGTAGAATTTGAATGCAGGCCAGCACAAATGTTAAAGCCTACAAAAATTACATCCAAGCTTTCATTTAGGAATGTTGCATGGTTTGAAATTGTGATTTTACCATGTGATAAAGTGTGCAGTTCTAGGTGTAGCATATCATTACTTATAACATCTATTGTGTTATCTAAGAGCACAACAGTATTAGAGCTTCACATGAAACTTGTGATGCCTATTACAAATGGATGAAACCACATATTACCTTTAATGAAAATGGCAATCTTTAATAAGGTGTAGAAAAACAGAGGAGAGTTGGTGTTTTGTGTTACAGCTGTGAAAAACAAAGACGTTAACCAAATCTTTCTGACTACAGACATTGATGCAATATTGACTCTGATGCTTATTTGAGTTATATATTTTTTTATTCTTTATCTTTTGTTATACAGAGTGACATAGATCTTTGGTTTTGCCTTTGCTGGTAAGTAAACAGTCATTGTAATGTTTAGTGTTAGACATACAGTAGGTTGAGTGAGTGGTTTGTGATGTTTCCATTTACTTATGGCCAAAAACACATAGTCAGGATGTAGAATCTGTAGCAGCAAAGCCACCACACAGGACCTCTCATTGTCCCATAAAATGTCCCTTAAAATTTTAAGCACTTAAGCAATGAGAAAAAACTTAGAGAACCAGAGCTGTGAGTGGACAGTGTTTGGTATATTAAAGTCAGTGTGTTCTTTATTTATGCTATAAGTCAGCGGTCCCCAACCCCCGGGCCACGGACCGGTACCAATTCCGTGAGTCGTTTGGTACCGGGCCACGAGAGTTGAGGCTCAGGTGTGAAATGTATGGTTTTCAGGGTTTTTATCGGTTTTCAGCGTTATTTTGTTATCGTTTTTATAGTTAACTTGATTTTCCTGGGTCTTTTCACATGTGTTATGAATAAATCTTCTTTTATTCGGTACCGGTACTAGTTTTATTTGGTTGTATTTATCCACGACACCTTAAAGGCCGGCCCGTGAAAATATTGTCGGGCACAAACCGGTCCGTGGCGCAAAAAAGGTTGGAGACCGCTGCTATAAGTTAAAATTAGGTTATTAATTATTTAGTGAATACAGTGTGTTTGGAAATTAAATATAAATGTTGGCAAAAAGGGAAATATTGCAAAATACATAAATATTCCTTCCAACAGGTATATCCTTCCTATTCTTTGCACTTCTGTAGTATGAATGCTTTTATTACACGTTATAGCCATGTGAGACTAAGTTGTTAAAGGAAATTAAGGATTTTACTAGTTATTTTATGTCACAGTAAATCGGATTGCGTGTGAAGAGGCTCTGAGGATTTCAAAAGCTTATTTCTCTCCAGAAATTAAATCCCGGTCTGAAAATTGCTTTTTGTAATTTGTGATGATGACTTTGAAAATACAAGTGGGATGAAAACATAAAATTAACACATTTATAAGAGGCCAGATACTTTTTAAAAAAAGAATCAGGGCTGTGTTTTTGAAAATAATCCTGCCCACATTTACAAAAGATGAACTGTATGTGAAAGTCATGTTTGTTTGTTTGTTAGTTGTTGTTGTTGTTGTTTTTAAAATAAATGTGGGAATCTCCAGCAAAGTCCTTACATGCAACAGCTTACATTCAGGACTCATTTCTGTTTTTTATCATTAAATTATCTACAAAGAAATTATCATTATACTACATTTTGATAATTAGGCCTTAATATCAGCTATCATAAGTTTGTCATAGATTTAATTGAGTGCTTATTGCTGTGTATCAAACATGCCCCAAATGTGATTGAAACATATAGAAATTGCTGTAGGAAACATGTGGCACCAAGTTTTTAATTTTTACCAAAAGTCATACTGAGTAAATTTCTGTGTACTTTTAAGTTCTTATTCTACTGAATTTTAATTTAAGTTTTCAGACTGTTTGTTTTGATTGTGTTAATAGAATTTGAATGCAGGCCACTTCAAATGTTAAAGGCTACAAACATTACATAGAAGCGATCATTTGTGATTGTTGCCTGCTTTTAAATTGTGATGTCACCATTTGATAAAGTGTGCATTTCTAGGTGTAGCAAATCATTGGTTATGATATCTACTCTGCTATGTAATTGAACCTAAATTGTAGAGCAATACATGACTAAGAAACTTGTGTGGTTTATTGCAAATGGATAAAACTGCATATTACTTTCATAAAGAGTGATCTTTATTAGGTTGTAGAGAACAAAAGAAAACGGAGAGGAGCTGTTGCTTGTATTCCAGCTGTGGTATTCAAAGAATTTTCCTGAATATATTTGACTAGAGAGAGTGATGCAGTATTGACTCTGATGCTGATTTGAGTTGTCTCATTCTGTATTTTTGTTCTTTGTCTTTTGCTACAGAGTGAACAGATCTTTGGTTTTGCCTTTTCTGGTAAGTAGACAGTGATGGTAATGCTTAGTAATTTACATGGCCAAAAGACAGTCAGGATTTATAACCTGTAGCAGCAAAGCCCCCAGATAGGACCTCTGACTGTCCCTGAAGTTTAATAGCCCATTTATGTCTGATTTTAATTTTTGATGGCTTATCAAGTCCAAATAATGTCAGAGATGTTTGCATACACTTGTTCCATTTCTCCTTATGCTACATAATCCTTATGTGGATTATGTAGTGAACACAACTATAAAAGTGCTTTGTGTGAGTCAGTATAGGTGGTGACTTAAACAGTTAAGAGCAACACAGCTATCAATTTTTAGTGTCTCTCATCTTCCACTTGTGAATTAGCATGAAGTCAAAACACTAGAAGTATTTTGCCTGAGTGACTACAAATGATACTTTTACCCTTAAGCGATAATAAAAAGTAAGAAAATTTAAAGTGTGAGGAGGTATATTAAACCCAGTGTTTTAAAATTAAATCTAAATGTTGCCAAAATGGGACATACTGCAAACCACATAAATATTCCGAGCAACAGGTACAATGGAAGGACTTTTTATTGTAATACTTTAAGAAATTTTAATTTCAAAAGAAAAAAAATTGTGCGCCACTGTTGTTGCTGTAACATACACTAAAACTGATGAGGTTTTCTGTTGCTTCTGCTTTAAACACTTACTTTGTATTCAATGTTTTTAACCTGAAATGACATTAAAGTTGTGGTTCTTCACATTTTATTACAACTGACTTCTGATAGGAAATGTTTGAGCCACAAAGCTTCTGTGTTGGAAATATTTGGTATATCCTCCATTTGTGCCAACAAATATTGGTGCCTATTGTTTGCACTTCTGTAGTATGAATGCTTTTATTACACGTTATAGCCATGTGAGACTCTGCAACTAATGTTCATAAAGGCTTGAAGAAATTGAGGATTTTACTAGTTATTTTATATCATAGTAAATTGGATTGTGTGTGAAGAGGCTCAACTGTCTGAATCATTAAAAAGTGATCTGATGTATTTTTTCCTTTCTTTAGACTGCTGATCTGAACTTCTCAAATCTGGTAAGTAAAAGTTTGTCTGGGGTCCTGCTGGGAATAGTGACTGATTTACATCACTGGGGGAGGGGGGGGGATTTTGTCCACTCTACCTTCAGAATTATTTTCATTAAGGTCCTATATAAGGTTTTCAAGTCATGTAAAATTCTCAATTTCATTAAAGTCCAGACTCTGATTAGTCTACACCAAGAGTTTCATTTTATTCAGAGTTGGACTTGCTTGTTTGCTTCAGATCAATTTCCTGCTGTGAATCCCAAGTGTGATTAAACTGAAGCTTAGGAGCTGATGGCTTGATGCAGGTCCTGAAAGTAGTAAAAGAACTCTGGACCATCACACTAACAGCATCATGTTTGACTTTAATGCTGGTGTTTTTCTGAAATTCGTTTCTCACTATAGGAGAGTTTAGTGCAGTGACTCAGCACAGCTCTTGGTGATCATCAAGATGTGAGAAAGGATTAGTGTTCATTTTGGTCAGTTAATCAATAAATTTGAGTTGACTGCGATGTAAAGTGTTGTAGAAGCAGGAAGCTGAAACTGCTGCTTTAACTGTCATTGTGGGGTTTAGCTTGACCATATAATTTTAAGTAATTCTGTAGCACCACATCTTGGTTTACATAGACTCTGTTTGTTTTTTATTGTGTTACCAGAATGCAAAAATGTCCTTATATCAGTTCCACCACCATTTGTTAAACATTGTCATTCAGTTCAGTCCAATATGCACTGTATTTTTCAGATTATAAGGCATAAGGGCAATGAACACGTCTGTTTTTTAAACATAAGGTACATTAAGGCAAACAAAACAGCCAGATAAGTCAAGCTGTATTCAACTCATTCACAATAACGCGCAACATTGTTCAGTTGTAACAATAAACTTTTCCAGTTTATTCCTCTTCCACAAATCCATCAAATTCTTCATGAGTTGATACCTTTGAAACCTGCTTCGTAAGCATGGCTCTTAACAGTTGCCAGGCCCTTATACACACACAGCATAATATTATGTTGAAGCACAGTGCGAATTACACTGCGAGGCTCCTAACTACGGTAGCTTACCAAAGTTGTACTACAACATTTTGAGAGATTTTGCAGCACCGTGTCCCAAATAGAATTGGTTTGAAGTCAGTAAGCACAGCCAGAATGAATACATAAGGCGCACTGTCTATTTTTGAGAAAATGAAAGGATTTTAAGTGCGCCTTATTGTCTGAAAAATACAGTAAAGTCAGCTTTATTGGAAATGTCTAATTCCAGTTTCTTTGTGTCTTACAGGTGACCTGTTGCAGAAATCGCTCTCCCTCTATCATTAACAAGCGATTCAGTCTGTCCTATCACTCTCCCCACTCTATCTATTTTGACAAGCCATTCTATCTTTTCTCACTCTATCCCAAGAGCTCTATCTAATTTACCAAAAATCAAGTTTTTTACTGGAATCAAGTTTTGACTGGAATCAAGTTTTGACTGGAATAATCAAGTTTTGACTGGTCCCAGTTTTTGGGAATTGAAGTTATCAGTACTTCATCTATCTGTTACAGAATTCTGAGAGGTCTCTGCTCTCACTGCTCCTTCTTTCCTGTCATTAAACTCTGTCACATCCAGTCTTTTTGCTGGAAATTATAAGTAGAAAGTTGAAATTACAATAGTAGAATTACAGTACAGTAGAAACTATTTACACAGCTGTAGATAATAGTTTGGCTTAGAGGTGAAATTACTTTGATACATTATATAAAATTTACACCTTCTTAAAGGTTTTTTGTAATAATATAAACTTGTTATTTTATACGACACATTCAGACTGCTGTATTCACAAAAATATTAAATTAGATAACTTCAGATACATTTTGCTAGTCTGTTTCATTGACTGTAACATTTGACTATAGTAGGTTTATACTATTATTATTTAGGGACAAACCCATTTCTGTTACTCAGTGTAAGTGTTCAGACACAATTGTCACCGAGAAGCTGCCCTGAGGACCCAGACTTCCTGTTTCCTGACTGCTGCAGAACATCCAGCTGAAGAATCCTCATTGCCTGTCATCTGTTCACCACACCACCACAGCTTCTAGTATTTGCTTTAAATTTTAGATATCTGAAAGATTTACACACACTCTACTTAAAAGCTAAGAGTTTTATTATAGCCTCTTGACTATTGTGATTTATTCTGCATATCCCTTTAAAAAAAAAGCTAAGATCTAAGCATTAACGAGTCTGGTTAAAAATATAAGAAGTAAAAATATTTTGTTTTTGAAAAAGCTACAATAAAACTGACCCAAGTGTTTCAGAAAACGTTTATCTTTTATATTGAGTTTCAATTAAAGTCAACCTTTTACATCTATTTACACATTTATAAAACATTTGAACATTTGTATAATCTTACATTTCTCAGATTTAAAAAGTAAGTTAAAGAGTTATTAGTTTTTCAGTGTTTCCCGGTTGGGTTTTGTTTATATCTGTGCATAAATACATATAAGCTTCAGTTTCTACTTCAATAAAATGCCAAGAAAAGGTCAAAGGTCGGAGTCCCAAAAGCTTAGATGGCAAAAGCAGAAAGCACAGGTAAATGTTTCTCAGAGCGATGAGCAGGTAAAGGTGTCTGTTACAGATGTTCCCAGTCTGGAAGTGCAAAGCAGTGTTCAGACAGCTGCAGTGTCTTATGCAGACATGGTAAAGAGAGGTGTTTGCTCCCTGTCTGTGCCAAAGGCTAAAGTACAAAAGGTAATGCAGACTGAACCCCAGGTAACTGTGCAAACGCAGCATGATGGAGAAGCTCCGGGACTGTCTCACGTACAAGTTACAAACAATGAAAGTCGTCCACAAGTGAGTAACATCTGTGCATCCAGAAGCCAGGCCGCTGCTAGGTATGGAAAGTACAGGAATAAGCAATGCATGGCTAATAGTTTGGTTTTCCTGTCATTCTTACATGAGGATGAATTCATTACCAGAGCAGATCTTAACTGTGTGTTGGACAAAGGCCATGTCGTGTATTCAAATGCCAGACAGAGGTTTGTCAATAGCGTGTTTCTAGCCTGCAATGAGCTTCCCACAGTGGTCACCAGCCGCAGACACGAGTATCAAGTGGACATATCTCAGTTTGCTCGTTACGGCACATTTGATGGTACCGATCACCTTCCGAGCCTTGAACAGGGACTACAGTGTTTGGCTTCAGACATTCGCTATGCTTTGCTAGTCATGGGAGGAACAGTCATCGCTGTTTGCAAGCTGACTTCAGGTGAATATGCATATTTTGACCCTCACCCACGTAAGTCTACTGGTATGCCATTGTCGCTAAGTGTAAGTGGTGGAACTGCAGTTATGTTGAAATTCACACGTCTTAATGACATGATTGACAGGATCAAACGTTTGTACCGAATGTTTAGCATCGCACCAACCTGCACTTATGAGCTACAGCCCATCGAGTTTCACAGTGAAAACGCTGCTGACCAAAGAGATGCTAATCAAACCACCGAATACAGACAACCTGCTACAAGTGATCCAGCACCAGTTTTAAATCAACCTGTTCTTGAATTAAACTCCCAAACATCCACTGAGAAGACACAGAAAACTGGGATCAACACTTTAACCACAGAAGTGATGTCATCCAGAGTGGATTATTCAAATGAGACAGCTACTGCTGAGGTTAACCAGCATCCTGATTATTTTGAAAATGAAACATCTGCATCTTCTGTGAGAGACTCTCAGGTAAAATCAGATTATGCTCCTCAAAATGATACAAACATTGCCTCCTGTTCAACTAAGACAACACAGGAACTCTCAAATAAACTGTTGAAATGTGATAAACAACGAAGGCAAAAAATGAGGAGAAGATTATTGTCCCAACAAAAACTACCACAAAGGAAGGAAAATCAGAAAAAGAAAGAAAGGCAGATGTACACTTTTGATGAAAGCTTCAAGACAAAGAAAAAAAATTCCAGTAGAAAGTCTAATGATCCTGATCACAGACAGAAGAAGGGTGTGTACAAAAATAATCTGTATAAATTAAATACTTCATATAGAGAGAAACAGAGAGAGCATATGACAATGATCTATAGAGAAATTGCTAAAATTAGAGAGAAAAAAAGAGAACATGTCATAAGGATGTATAAGGACAATCCTATATTCAGAGAAAAGCAGAAGGAACGTATGAGAAAAATATACAGGGAATCTTATAGACAATGTCCTAAATTCAGAGAAAAGCAGAAGGAACGTATAATAAGAGCATATAGAGAATGTCCTGTATTCAAAGAAAAACAGAAAGATCATATAAGAAGAATATACAGAACTTGTGATGAATTCAGAGAGAAACATAAAGCTTACATGAGGTCATATGTTTCTAACCTATATAAAGAAAGTGAAGAATTTAAACAGAAAAAACGATCTTACATCACTAAACGTTATGGTGAAGAGAGAAAATTTCAGCAGCAACACAGGGACAATATGAGAGAACGAATGAGAGTAAAATATTGGAACAGTTTTTCTTTTAGACAGATGCATAATATCAGATGTGCAATGAACATAAAAAGAAAATATCGTCAGATGCATCAGCCAGCTGAGAGTTTACAGTGTCATCCAGATAACACTTTAATGAATGAGGCCATATCTCGTTTCAGATCCAACATTAAGTCAGCACCATCTCATGTTTGTACTGTTTGTCTAAAAGCTTCTTTTCCTAATCAGGTGAAAATCTGCAAAAGAGAAAATTACTCAAAACACCAAACTGTAGCTCAGCAGTGTCTAACTGGTAAATTTGTTCATGTGTGTGATGAAGCATGTAATGATCACTGCAGCTTTCCTGTTGAAAGAAAAAAGGAGTATATCTGTCACACATGTCACAGTTCCCTCAAAAGTGGACGCATGCCAAGGCTTGCTGCTGTCAATGGTTTAGAACTGCAGGATATTCCAGCTGAACTGTGTGATCTCAACATTCTGGAGAGACATCTGATTGCCAAATGCATACCATTTGCTAAGATTATTCCACTTCCAAAGGGCAGACAGAGACTCATTCGTGGTAATGTGGTGTGTGTACCAT